TTCTTGTCCTCTCTCATTTCCTCTCTTCGTTCTTCTCTTCTCTTCTTTCGTCCCTTTCTTCTCTTTCATCTCTTCTTTCGTTCCTTTGATAGAATTTAGATGGCTTTCTATCATAGGATGACTGGAACTTTTCCCTTCTGAACTCTTTTCGCTCGTAGGGTTTTCTGATGAACTTCTTTTGGAATTGTTTTGTAATCAAGGCCATTGATTTGGCGAAAGCTTTAATTTCATCATCTCATTTAGAAGTTTCCTCTTCAGATTCTGATTCTTTCAGCAAAACTTTCTTGCCTTTCTTCTTGTGTTCTTTGGCAGGAGTCCTTGATTTTTCCATTTCATCGGCAGCAGGAGCAAGAGGTCCTCCAATGGATACCTTTTTCTTTATTATGTCGCTTTCTTGCGCTGCAAGAGTTCCATACACATCATGAAGACACCAGCCATCTGAGTCTTGGTTTGCTTGTAGAGACATGGATAGCTGAGTCCATTCATCGCCTAGACTTTTCAGGAATAAAACATTGTTTTCTTCCTTGGTTCTGATGATATCGTTTCTTCGACATTGATTTATCAATGTGTTGAAGCGGTCATAGGTCTTTTGTATGGGTTCATCAGGGAGGGCTTTGAAGTTGGTGTAATCGTAGAGACATTGTGATTATTAATAATCGTTGAGACATTGTGCTCTACGATTTTTCTTCGTCTTTGCTCCTCCTTCCAGTTGACTTGCCAATTCGTCCCATAGTTCTTTCGCAGTGGAGCATGTGTCAAGGGATTGAAAGATTTCATTGGGCAGGGCCATGATTATTAATCTTTTGGCCTTTCTGTCAGTTTCAACTCTTTCTTTATCATCTTCGTCCCAATTTCTTTCATCTTTTGGTATGTAATATGCTGGAATTTCAGCTGTGGTATTTGTTCATGGAACTCTTGGAACTAGAGTTTGAGGGATGTAAGGACCCTCCTGTGTGGATCGCATGAGATTCCGGTCTATACCCTCCAGAAAGTTTACCATTCTGATTTTCCATTGAGGATATTCCTCCCTTTGAAGAGTTGGCGGCTTTGTGAGGGAGCCAACATTGTACGCTGAATTCCAGTTGGGCATTGAAAAATTTTGAGAAGAAGAAAGAATTTTTGATGAGAAAGAAGATTAAAATATTGAGAGATTTTAAATGATCGTTTGATTGGATAATCAATCAATAGGCTCTGATACCAATTGTTGATCTCAGATCTCTCAATAACACTAATAATCTATTTATGAATAACCAAATTATAGTGATTTTACGAAGAAAGTTATGAAGACTCAAAAATAAAATAAGAACATTCAAGAATAGTTTTGAGCTTCAAAGGTTTTACTTTATAAATAATGAAAC